CAGGGTTTCGGGTTTTGGGTTTCGAGTTTTGGGTTTCGGGTTTAGGGTTTCGAGTAGGCCCTGAACCGCAAGCCCCTTCAAGAGCCCCGAGGGCCTACATCCCAAGAGCAGACACACCTCTGCCAGCAAAACAGTCTTTCGCCTGTAGGACAGTATCATATAGTCACATAGTATGGCATAGCATATAGTAGAGTAGAGTAGAGTAGAGTAGAGTAGAGTATAGTATGTTATAATTCAGAAAAATGTAATGCAATACACCATAATGTATTCTCCTCCACCTCTGCTCCTCAGAAACGGCGCTTGCCTCGGACGTGGCGGGACGGAGACGTGGCGGAGAAGACGTTTCGAAGCTGTTCAGCTTTGCTGCCCGAAGAAGCTCAACCCAACCCTGCTAGATCCTGAAGCTTTGTGATCGGATGTCCGAGATGGTCGGGCTTCTTCGGTTGGTCCATAAGAGGGGGGGGGGGGTGCGGGTTTCCGTTGAGCAGTAGTGGATGGTATGATACAGCCCGAGAGAGGGCACGGAGAGCTCGAGCCATGCCCCGCCTCGTTTTGTTCAGCCTATTCTGAGGTTTAAGGTTTAGGGTTTAGGGCCTCTTGTCCCCTCCATAAGAACCCCTTTTCAACCGATGCAGCGACTCTTAGACCCGGTCGCGAGGCTGCGAGAACGGTTCATGCGTAAGCTTCAGCCGAAGCGTTGAGAACTGGCTTTGGGGCTGAGGGCTCAGGTGATAACGGATTTAGGGTGCAACTGTGGCCTTCGTCCCCTCAGGACTGCCCGGTCTGTGAAAGACTTGATGACCAAGGAGCCCGTAAGCCTTCTGAGATCCCCTGCCTACGACCCTGCTCCGGATTTCCAGCCCGAGCGGAGCTTCGGTTTCTTCCCACAAAGGCCCATCCCACAAAGGCCCCAGAGGTTTAACGGGGGGGGGCCTCAAAAAGTGACATTCACCCATCCAAAGGCCAAGACAACAAGCCGCTGCCAGCCCCACGGCCATGAACACCATCATACACCTCTTTTTCCCTAGACTGTCAGCCCTCGGGGTCCTAGATGGCAAGCCCTGGCTTAAAGTCTTACGTCCAAGGCCTCCAAAGGCCCTTGCAAGCCCCCCAAAACCCCCAGTGAGAACCCCTATGATGAGCCTATGCATGCATCAACTCTCGTTGAACCCCCTGGAAACCAGTGGGGAGGAGCTACCTAAGAGCTTCTCGTCAGTGGAAGCCGCTGCCTGGACGCTGCACATGCTGCTCCCTGTCTCCAAGTCTTGTGCTGACAAGGATTGCTGTGAGGGCCACTATGAGCTATAAGGGCGATGACAACGGTTACCACTTAGGGTTCTGTTGGGATTTAGAGACCCGTTCGGAAACGATGCCGCAGTTCTCTTGATCCTCTCTTTACATCTTCGCAGATTGCCTCGGAGCGCCTGCAGTATCATTGCAAAATCACGACATAAGGACCTCGTCTCCACCCCGGGGCCTTGCACCACGAAATTTCCACCAGACATCACCAGACCATGCAAGACCAGACGCATAATGAGGTTGGCATTGCAGCTTCCAGGTGCGGAGGAGGAGGCCTGGAAGGGATGTATGCAATCGTTACTGGTTTGGTGGTGCCCCAGCTGTTGCCGCTGCCGCTCTGGCTGTAGCTGCTGTTGTCGAGCATGCCATTAGCCCTGCTAAACCCTAAACCCTAAACCCAAAACCCAATAGAATGCAATGCGCCCCTTAAAAAAAATCAATAGAAAGTCCCGACGGAGGTCGGCCCCACAGTGGCCTCATGCTTCCGCTCCACGGACGCTGCGCAGTCTTCGGGTTGCACCAGACTTCTTTTCCCCTCGCCAGTGGGATCTGTATCCTCGTGAAACCCCAACAGACACTGATCTCTGAAGTTACCCTAAACCCCAAACCCTAAGGCTAAACACCAAACCCCCACCCCTCCCCCCCCCGGCTTTTCCGAGGACGGCAAAGATCCTCCGCGAGGCGGCCCTCCTCGGCGATGCTGCTCCCCTTCCCGTCGCTCTTCTGAGTTCTAGGGGCTTTCAGGACTTTAGGGACTTTCGGGATTTAGGGGCTTAGGCTTTGTGGTCGCAACTCAAAGGAAGAACAGCTAGCCTTGTTTATGGAAAGGGCGGTCGACCAAGAAGGGCAGAGGGCCGGACGTCGGAAGTGTAGGGCGGGCAACGTCCCCGCCTTGCTCGGGTCATGCCATGAGTAGCTCCTGAGAGCCCGCCCGGTTTAGGGTTTAGGGTTTAGGGTTTGGAAGCCTTCAATCTGCAACCCAAGAAGCACACGGCAGCAGTGAGCAAAGAAATGCCAAAAGCCCAACCCGACACCCCAAACCCTCCAAACCCTAAAGCCCCTAAACCCCGGAAACCCTCCAAGCCCCAAACCCCTAAACCCCAAAATCCCCCTAAACCCTCCAAACCCCTAAACTCTCCCAACGATTGAATCCTTAAACCCTTAAGCCCTTTAAAGATCCTAGACCCTAGACCCTAAAACTCTAAGAAACCCTAAACCCTAAACCCTTGAATTCGAGAACACATACAATGTCTCTCAACAGCTCCAAAACCCCCAAAAAACTCTAAACCTAAACCCTAGACCCTTGAATCCTAAAACACCTACGATGCCCCTGGAAAGCTCTAAAACTATAGAAAAGCCCGAAACCCTAAACCCTAAACCCTTGAATCGTTAAACCCTTTAGCACTAAGAAAATCCTGAACCCTATTCCTAAAACCCCTAAGCACACCCTCAACCCTTGAATCCTAAAGCACCTACAATGCTCCTCAAAAGCACTAAAACCCAGGAAAAAACTCGAAACGCCAAACCCTAAACGTTTGAATCCGAAAACACTTGCAATGCCCTTAAAAAGCTCCAACACCCTTAAAGCAACCCGAAACCCTAAACCCTAAACTCTTGAATCCTGAAACGCTTACAATGCCCCTAGAAAGCTCCAAAACCCTTAGCAAAACACGAAACCCGAAACCCTAAACCCTAAACCAGAAACCCTAAACCCTTGAATCCTAAAACTCCTTAGCACAAAAAAATCCTAAACCCTAAATCCTAAAACCCTAAACCCGAAACTCTAAACCCTTGAATCCTAAAACCCCTTAGCCCTAAAAACTCCTGAACCGTAAACCCAAAACCCTAAGAACACCCTAAACCCTAAACCCTTGAATCCAAACACCCCTGAGCCCAAAAAATCCCTAAGCCCAACACCGAAAACCCCTAAAAAACACCCTAAACCCTAAACCCTTGAATCCTAAAATCCAAGAGGATTGGGTCCTGCCGGAAGAGCTCAAGGCAAGGAGGCAGCGGCTGCGGGAGGCTCTCTCCGCAGGCCAGGAGCTGAGGTTGCCTTCGGGGGCTTTCTGGGATTCTCTGGGTGTTTTTTATGGTAATTAATTCTAAACGCTTCGCGTCGTCCGCCTCGGCCCGGCCGCAAACAAAGAGGCCCAGCGAACTGCTGGCGCGGGCCCGCTGCCCTTTGCTGGCGTACTTGACTCGTTGAAGGCCGGCGGGTTCACCCACTTGCACCTCGAACGGAGCGTCACGGCGAAAAGCTTTTGGACTCGCGAGAATAACATGGCGGCAAACCTTCACTTCATGGCCTTGGTTTACACAAGCAAGGCTGGCAATCCTTTGGACAACCACGCAACGCCCGCCATGGAGCACTTGCTCGGGAGCTTCCGACCAAGCTTCGCGCTGGACGGCTACCCGCAGGCCAAGGATGGGCTAAACATTTTTGGCATTAAAGCTGTTTGAACATAAGGCTCACGTTCATAGAAATGTTTCAATGCTTGAAGCCACCTAAGCCTTCAAGCCACAATTCTAAGCTTTTGTAATGGTTCAAATCACGTGGCCAAGGACCAGTTTAAACGTTCAGGTCATTTAAACAAGCCTTGTAAACACTTCAGCCGCCTAAGAGAGTTGCTCAAACCCTACATGATCCTTGCAGGAAGAGACCTAGCTTCCTGCCAAGCGTGGAGGCAACATGCTTAAACGGTTCCAACTTGGGCAGTTTAAGCGCGCAAACTTTAGCCAGACAGGACACGTTTACATACATTTCGGAGATCTAGCTTGTAAACAAATAACTATGTTTAAGCATTCTTGTTGTTTGGACGGGCTTTAGTAGCACTCTTTGCCAGTAGCCTGTGGGTCTTAAACATGTTTAGACTAACCCTGCTGCAGGCTCCCATGGCGCGGAAGACACGTGGCAAAAGATCCTCGTCTTCGGTTGCAAGCCGAGCGTTGTCCGCATTGCTCGCGGCGTTGGCGGAGCGGACGAAGACCGGGGAAGGGGAGGAGATTGCGTACAAACAACCAGAGGCATTTGCAGGACTTGCGCATCGACCGCTGCCGCGGAAAAGCGGAAGCAACGAGGGAAAGCAGGGCGAACGGGTAGGGGTGGGGAGGAACAGGGGGGGAGGGGCCGGAGCCCTACAGAGAGCCCGAATCCATTGGAGGAGGCGAGATTTTACCGCAGGGCCTTCGGGTTCATTTATGGGTTCACACAAACCAACCCGCCGCCCCCTGAACTCATGTTTTGAGGGGGGGTCAGTGAGGAGGGGATTAAGAGGTGGGGAATAGAAGGAATCCGATTAGGAACCTCTGACCGCTTCGGCCGAGGCCGAGGCGAGTTTTTTCTGGGTTTTTTTTATAGGATTTTTCTGGGCTCTTCTGGGATTTTCTTGGATTTTTATGTTTTCTGTTTTGCTTTCTTATTGGATTTTCCGGGTTTTACTGGTGGAATTTTCTGGGATGTTCCTTGATTGTTATGGGATTTTCTAAGATTTTTCTAGTGTTTTTATGCATGGTTCGTAAAGTACAAGAGGCGCTTCTGCTGGGCCGAAGGCTCGCAGGGCTCAAGAAAGGCTTTGGTTTTGCCTAGCAGTCGCTTCGGCTCGTCATTCGGACAGTCGCGGAGTGTGAGGCGTTGCACGGGATTGCGGCGGTGGATGTTTTAGGTTCTCCGGTTTTACTTGATGAGTCCTAAAGAGATGGTCCGCGCGGAGAGGAGACGATGAGAAGCTGCATGGGGCATGCCAGAGCTTGGTGGAGATGGGAGGCAGGCTGTTGACTCCACAATGAGTTTGGGGTTCAGGGGGATGTCATCGTTTGGAGTGTCTCGGCTCTTGCCATGTCGCTCCAGCGTGCTTGCTGAATCGGCCAGACAACAGTCCAGCCGTCAAGAAATCTTTACAGTGCTGACGGCTTTCTGGAGGTAAGCTACTGCTGTTTCTTTTATTTTTGACTTCCGACATCGGAAGGTGGCTGCTGGTCAGGAGTGCCGTTGTTTTCACAAAGTATTGCTTGCTAGTTGTTGTCCTTCATTGAGTCCTTCCTCTTAGTGTGCCTTTGGATTTAGCAGTGTTGCTTTAAGCAGCTGCTGGGTTGATGGGGACGACGAAGCAGACGATGAGACCATGCGACGATAACAACGATGGTGGTTTTGAAGAAGGATGATGATCATGTTGTTGTTGTGGATGATGAGGAGGCTGACAATGGTCATGACGAAAATCATGACGACAGAGTTGTCCAAAGTCGTGTCATGGCCGTGCTTGTGGCTCTTGGTTTGCAGGCCTTGCAGCCTGCCAAGCCGACCTGCAGCGTGGCTTCGCGACGCGGTCAATTTCATATTCCGGGCACAGCGGTCTGGAAACAACTCTGTCACAGTGCAGCGCTAAACACAAGCACCCCTAACAACTGAATCCAAAGCCCAACCCCCAATCACCCAAACCAAGGAAGAAGCCATCCGGAAAAGACCCCTTGACATAGCCTGAAATTTTAGAAACCTCCCCTCTGGAGCCACCTTTGTTCAGTAACCCTCCCTCTTGAAGCTTTATATAACCCTAAACCTTTCAACACTAAACACCAGAGTGTTAATCACCCTTTAACACCCCTAGAACCCCATGGAACCTCCGCCCTGCAGAGAAAATTCTTGAGCCCTTACTGTACGGGGTGCTTAAGCCCGCAACCCCTTCTGGCAACCCCCGTGACCCCTAAGGAACCCTAGACCCTAAACTCTATCATATCCTTGCAGACGCCGGTAAGGTAACCCCTGCAGGGAACCCTCAAGTACCCTTTTACAGAGCCCCAAACCCTCATCCCTCTTCAGAACCCGTAGCCCCCAAACTCTCAAAGGATACCCCTTTCAACTGGCCCAGGAGCCCTTAAGGAGCCCTTAAGAGAACCCTTTGTGCGGGAACTCTTAAGACCTTACAAGGGAACTCTTAAGGGTCACCCTTGACATTGAGGTACCCTTGTTCAAAGAGCCCTTCAAGGAACCCTGAGAGGAGCCCTTACAGGAACCCGTGCAGGAGCCCGAGGAGGATCCCAAAAAGGGACCTTTCCAGGAGCCCGAAACGGAAGTAATGGAGGGGCCTAAATCTAAATAATTACCTACACTATTTTGGGGTTCCTTAGTATAATCATACTATGAGTGGCTCCAAAATCCTATTGAAATTATTAAGACCCCTTGTTTTCGTATGACGGGCCCAAAACCCTATTGAAATTATTAATGCCCCTTCTTTCGTATAACGGGCCCCAGAACCCCATTGCAATTATTAAGGCACCTTTTTTCGTATAACGGGCCCCAAATCCCTATTGCAATTATTAAGGCCCCTTCTTTTTCGTATGACGGGCCCCAAAACCCTATTGCAATTCTTAAGGTTCCTTTTTTTTCCGTATGACGGGCCCCAGAACCTTATTGAAATTATTAAGGCCCCTTATAGTAGCCCTTATAGAACCCCCTAAGGAACCCCAAACCCTACCAAACCCTAAACCCTAAACCCTAAACCCTAAACCCTAAGGAACCCCAAACCCTACCAAACCCTAAACCCTAAACCCTAAACCCTAAACCCTAAACCCTAAACCCTAAACCCTAAACCCCAAACCCGACCAAACCCTAAACCCTAAACCCTAAACCCTCAACCCTAAACCCTGAACTCTACGAGCTCAGGAGCGCCTCCAAAGCCTCTTCCGGCTGCCGGCGGCCTGGTCCATGGAGGCGCTCCTGGCAGGAGCTGGGCTTTTGGGGTTTAGGGGTTTAGGGTTTAGGGTTTAGGGTTTAGGGTTTAGGGTTAAGGTTTAGGGTTTAGGATTTTTTGGGTTGTTAGAAGAAAAGGATGGGGGGCCTTAATAATTAGAATAGGCGCTTTGGGGTCTATTATGCTATGATTATAATAAGGAGCCCCCAAAATAGTCTGGGCTCTTGTTGTTTAATTCTGCTTAGGTTCTGTGGAGTAGAGGGCTTTAGACGAATTCTGTGTGAACGGGCTTTAGGGTTCTTTCCCCAAGTAGCGTCAGTGTGGTAGCACGGCTATGTTGGCCGTGCTCTTGGATCTCACCAGTACATGCCAAAACCATGGTGGTCCTGCCCGTGGATGGAGGAGGAAAGTCCTGGTCTCCTGGTCGTCGTTGTGGTCGTGGTAGTCGTGATCGTCCTCGTGAGGGAGTGCGTGGGGTGCCTGCGCAGAGGCGCAGGGAGTGCGTGTGCGGTGCCCGTGATGATAATGTAGTTACCGTACGGTCCTTCAATGTTTGGAGGTCTGCTCTGTTTTTCACCTCCTCTCGTACTCGGTCTTCCGTCGTATTTCCGCCCGCCTGGGTGGGTCTTTATTCCACGTGCCTTCACCGACACGGTTTTCCCATCCATCTTGTATACCTACGCTACCTTCCCGCATGTTGGCCAAATAAAAGGGCTTCAGGGGTTGAGGGCCCGGGGCAAGACCGTGAGGAGGATCGAAGAAGAAGTTGCTGGCCAAGAACAAGGTGGAGTTGCCCAGGGTTTGCTGTTAAGGTCTTGAGGTTCGCTATTCTGGTTGAGAGGCTTGGCGGAGAATCCTTCATTAGGAAGATCCTGTTAATACAGGGGCCTAAGTAATTACCAATACTATTTTGGGGGTTCGTTATTCTAACTATAGTCTGTAGTTTAATATACCCCAAAACCCTATTCTAATCATTAAGGCCCCTATATTACTCCTGCAAAGGCTGTTCTTATGACACTTCGGCCTTTACATTCCCCTATAAACCCTAAACCCTAAACCCTAAACCCTAAACCGTATAAGCTCTTAATTCCAAGGCCGAGGTCAAAGAAACGCGAAGCCCACGGTTGCAACACTCCGCAGCGTATCCTTCAAACTCCCAGCCCTGAACTAGCAAATATGCATATCCATGTCTATGTCTCTGCCAGTTTCCGTGTGAGAGTGGAAGCACGTCAGCTCATGTAACTGTTTGTATGCATGTTCCTTAAAGCAATGAGAGGGCAGATTTCCGTTGTGACCGGTTTGCAGGATCGTTGTAGCAGATGTTTGGATGGGTCCCGGAGTGATCTATGTAGTACTATGACTGTTTTTATTGTTATAGCGGGCATTACTATTGCTATGATGTTGGTACTTTTCCAGTGGTGAACACTACTACGGTTGCCGCAAGAGAAGAACACATGTCGTCATCAACATCTTCATCATCATGATGATGCTGGTGATGATCATCGTTATCGTCATCGTCATCGTCAGCGTCATCGTCATCCTCATCATCATCATCATCATCGTCGTCATCATCATCATTATCATCATCACCACCATCATTGTTATCCTTATCCTGATTCCTCTCACGCCCATAAGTTACTTTGCTCTTTGCTGACAGAACACTACACCCCGAATCCCTCAGACCCGCAACACTAAACTTATGTCCTGAACCCGAAAGTTAAATCGCAAACCTGAAACTTCTAAACCCCCCCAAAAAAACCCTGAACCCTAAACCCAAAGCCCTTCAGCCCTAAGCCTTAGCCCTGAAACTTTAAGCCATTTTTTTCGGGCGGTCAGCTCTGGACTCTCACGCTCTTGTTCTGCTTTTAGGGGCCTCTTCGTGAACGGAATGTGCCCGGGGGTATAAATAGCTGTTGCATTCGATTCCCGACAGCTAGCCATCAAGCCTTACAGCCAACAGCCCCCAAGACACTCATCAAGGTCACAGACTCGGCTCTGTTGTCCAGCTTTGCCATGCCCTTTGGCTGCGGCGGCGGGTCAAGACGAGGGAGTTGGAGTGATGGGGGCTGAGCTGAGGTTGGGGATGAGTGCAAAGAGAACTTGCGCGAAAGTGCCCGCGCAACTAACAGGATCCACATGCATAGCCTCGGGGCCTTGATGGCATCATCGTAGATGTCTTTTGGCGGACTGACCAACGGTATCAAGTTGCGTTTTTAGGTTCTACAGTGGAAGACTGGTAAGCCGAAGACTTGAGCAGTCTTCAAGGCCGCGGCGAGAGTGGGATGAACGTTTCGTTGTCTTGGCCGTGGTCCTCTCTAGAAAGTCTTGTTGCGAACTCTTGCTGCTCTCCTCCCTCCTCCTCGCTTCTCCCTCATCCTCCTCCCTCCTCCGCCTCCTCCTCCTCCTCCTACTCCTACTCAGTTACTCCTACTCCTACTCCTAGACTTTCTGCTGCTACTGCTACTCCTACTACTCCTCTTCCTAGCTACTACTACTACTACCACTACTACTACTACTACTACTACTACTACTACCACTACTGCTGCTCCTATTCCGATGATGCTGACATTTCGGGGACTTCGAGGCTCCTCCGCGAGACGACTCACAGCGTCCGCACGCGAGATCGCACGGGTGGGCTGCCCACGCTCCTTGCCTTTTGTTGGGGTTTAGCTTGCGGCTTAGGGTTAAGTTTAGGGGTTTTTCGGGTTGGGGTGTAGTGTAGGGGCAAGGGGTCGGGGGTTGAGAGTTTAGTGCTCGAGCTCGATCGCAGGGGTAGCTTTCGAGGGCTGAAGGCCGTGGTTTGGAGTTTTTGGTGTCCTGCAGCTGGCAGTTGGGGCCTGCATCCGAAGCCTTGAAGCACTGGACCTCTTGGTGTCTTCATCAGCGGCTCCTCCATCTGATGACCTGCTTTCAAGATCGGTTTTAGGCCCTAAATGCCGAGGAGATATGAGCTCCGTGGGGCCGTCGAAGTGATGAACGCAGCTGCCTGGGCGACGTACCAGCAGAGGCTCTCGCTGGGAATTTTCACCCCGTTCTTCCATCATTTTCATATTTTTTCCGTTGCCTTCTGGGCCACGTGTACACGGTTCGGCTTTTTGTTTTAATGCCCGAACCTCGTAGTAGAAACTTAGCCGTTTGAGAGCTCCGGCGAGGCGTGACGGCATCGTGCAGGACTGCGACCGACTCCCTGAGGCCTTCGGGGTAAGACAGGTTCGTGCTTGTTGGTGTCGAGGAGTGGCAGAGCTCTTGCTGTTGCTGTTGTTGGTGCTGCCGATGCTGCTGTGGTGGTAGGACAAGGATCGTCTCTGTGGTGCCGTTATCCTGTTCTTATCATTCCTACTCACTGGCATGCCGAAGATCCTTGTCCGTAGGTGCCCAGACATGACGTTTCGATGGAAGTTGGCCCTCGCGTTCAGCCCACACACAGAAAGCAAGTTTCAATCTTAGCCCTAAGCCCCAAACCCCAAACCCAAACCCCGAACCCCAAACCCTAAACCTTAAACCCTAAACCCTAAACCTTAAACCCTAAACCCTAAACCTTAAACCGGCAAGGCCTAGGACTTCCCGAAAGCCTCTCTTTGCAAGACCCAGGCAACACGGCAGATGGAGAGCTGGCAGGACAGGTTGGGCGAGTCTGCGTCTTAAATGAAAAAGACTCTCATCCCCGTGTCAGCTAAGGTTTAGGGTTTAGGGTTTAGGGTTTAGGGTTTAGGGTTTAGGGTTTAGGATTGTCCCCGTGTCAGCTAAGGTTTGGTTGAGTCGGGAGGTTTAAAATGTCAAGAGAGCTCTCCCGTTGCAGTTCTACGCGGAGCTACATCGCACAAACCTTGTCACTTTTTATGCAGCAGTCGTCGCTGGCGCTTCCCATCCGGTCTAACGTCTAGTCTACACCTCCTGCTCATTTAGAGCGTCGCGTCTTGAGCCACGCTTCTGAGATGCATATGAAGATGATGAGTCTTGCTAACCCCACTGCTGCAGTCCAGGAGTGCCTCTGCTGCTGCTACTGGGTGCCGCTGCTCTTTTTGTTGTCGTCGCGCATCGCCGTCATCGCCGTGGTCGGAGTTTCGTTTGCAGTGGCGTCGCTGTGCGCAGGAGGCTTTGGCCGGAGAGCCAATGACCGCAGCCCCAGTGACTGGAGCAACCTGGCCCAGAATTGACGGCGGGTGTTTACGGCCATTTCAACTTAGGGTTGGAGGATCTAGGCGGCTTAGGGTCAAGGGGTTGCGGAAGTCATGAGATCTGTATATCGGGTTCTGACCCCTTTCCTTCACTTCCCACATTGGCCAGTTGGCGCGGTCCAGTGCTCTTCGGACCGACATCCAGAAGCAAGCGAACGCACCCTGGCTGGCATGGGGCGGGCGAAGCAGCATTGCGTTAAGAAAAGGTGGTCTTCGACACCCTAGGCCCCCAAGCCTGAACCCCAAGGCGTTATCATGACCGTTGTTCTGGTCAAAGAGTGCTTGTGGGTACCGGCAGCAGCGCTAGTGACTGCGAATAGTAGTGCTCTTCATGGCGGTTGTAGCAAGAAGTGTCATGTCCGGTGCAGGCTTGCATCAAAGAGAACCTCAGCTTCATGTCCTTTGGTGCCGGGTTGAATGTAAACAGCTATGGCTATATCCTACTATATCCCTTATGAGAGACTTTCAGTGAAGCCTCCTTAGCCCATGGTTTTTGCGGGAACCCCCCCAAAGGGCCCTGGGAGCAGAGGAGTTCTGGTTCTTCCACGGCACGTCGCACGCGGCGGCGGAGGGCATCACCTCGGACGACTTCGATTTGACAAGAGCGAATCCCTCAGGCCCGGGCCCTAAACCTTAAACCCTAAACCCTAAACCCTAAACCCTAAGCCCTAAACCCTAAACCCTAAACCCCTAAACCCTAAACCCTAAACCTCTGGGCACCTGAGATCCCGAGAAGCCTCCGAAGGCCCGCCCTAGCAACAGTAGTCCTGTGTGGGGTTCCCTACAGAAAAGACAGTGGAACTCATCGATCCAAAGGCTGCTCTGATGGTAAGTAAAAACTTCCGATGGTGATGAAAGCCCCCACATGATCTTTCTATGGGATCCTTGCTGCAGGAAGCTCTTTCACTTTGCACCCTAACGCCAAACCCACTCTTGACTGTGAAAGGCCTGTAAGTATGTCACGCGGCTTCCGTTTTGTACCTAGTATTTGTGACGAGTTTGAGAGTTGCCACTACTCCGGCTGCTAGCAGCTAGCATTCACGACAGGATGACCGCTGGTGTTGCGAACATAGCGACGACTTGTATTTTGGTCGCAACAGGGTAATGTTAACGATCGCACCGTAAAAGCATTTACAATAGGGCAGCCAACACAGCACTAAGAGTTGGGGGACCAAGCAGCGTTGAAACCAGAACTGCGATCTTGCAAGATGCTGTCAGCAGCAGTGATAACAACGAGGAACGGCATGAGCACGAGCAACGATTCCACTCATCCTGATATTGGTAATGCAGCTGATGGCGACCGGCATGCATAAATGAACATAAACTTCAACCTAAACCCAAACCCCAGGCCCTAAACTAAGCCCTAAACCTTGACCCAAAGCCCTAGACTCACCAGGCTTGTTTGGTGCTGGGCTCTACTTTGCAGAGTCGATCAGCAAGGCCACAGTCGCCTGGGGTCAGGGCAGGAATTGGGTTGGACTGTCAGCACCACTCCTCCTCCACTTCCCCTCCAGTTATGCGCGCATCTGTGCTGGCCCCATCGGTCGTGTAGGTTTCCTGTAAAGTCATGAGGTCTCTGTGCCTTGTCAAGCGATCTACTACTATGATATATGGTGCGGTGGCAAATGAATCCGGCTCAAGAGTGTGCAATGCCGGCAAAATTACAAGTGAGTGGAACCATGCGCAAGCAGGTGCTGTAGCGTGTGTTGACATGCCACTAGAGATGGCACAGGCAGCTCTTGGGACACCCGGGGACACTCCGTGCTACTGCTGCTGCTGCTACTGCTGCTACTGCGGCGACCAAGGTGCCACTGCTGCTGCTGCTGCTGCTGCTCCTCCTGCTACTGCTACTGCTACTGCTACTGCCACTGCTACTGCGACTGCGACTGCGACTGCGACTGCGACTGCTACTGCTACTACTACTACTACTACTACTACTACTGAGTTACTACTGCTACTACGACGGCAGTGACCACAAGTACTACTCCCAGAGCTAGTAGTGCTGGTATTGCCAGCAGTGCTAGTCCTCGCAGTGGCAGGCGATGCCTCACCACAGGCCACACTGGTAACCTTCCAGCCCGACACCATAAGCCCGTCGCATGGTGCAAGGCAGACGAGTATGCACACGGAGAGGTGGTGAATGGCAGCTTGGCAAAGCAGAGGTTCCCCCTGTCACCGGGAAAAGCCCCCTAAACCCTAAACCCTATACCCTAAACCCTAAACCATAAACCCTAAACCCTAAACCCTAAACCACTCAGCGGGCCCTTCAGGATCCTTTGATTCGATAAAGAACCATTGCCTGTTCGCGCCGAGAACTCTTTGCAGAAAACCACTTCGCTTTCCAGTTGGCGAGTGCAGGTGCATCAGGTCCAGACTCCAGACATTTAGGGTTTAGGGTTGAGGGT